TATGTAGATTTATTATAAGATATCGATTTTATAAAAAATTTTATGCACTGAACGCGAATCTGCAAAGCTTGTTTCGATGTATAGATTTGAAAATGATAATTTAAAAAATTTTATTTTTGAAAATATCTTATTCGATAATACTATTGAAGTATTTAAACATACAATAATTTTTAGTGTCTTAAACAAATTAAGATGTTAAACTATATTATCTTGTTCAAAAAGCGAAATTTTATTTCTTTCCAAAATTAGTTTTTTGAAAATTCTATATAAGAAATAATGAAACTAATAATGCACAGAGGTATATAAAAATCTCTTATGCAAGATTAAAAGTCGGAAAAGAAATTAAAATTTGTTGCATAATGTACGTGTCCGTTATTATTGTATATAATCCGTTCAGCAATAGACCTGGAACTAAAGCAGATAACCATGGATACTTGTGAATTAATCCTTATATCTCGCATGTTCACACTGCTTGGCTTCTAGGTGATTAACCCTAATAAGGATAACGAAGATGGTGGCAAAGTAAGTGAAGTATACGTTACTGTATACATATAATTAAACTAATTTTTTAAGCAGTGACAGATTATTGCACAGACAGTCGATTCGGGATCCACATAACACGGGTCTAATCTCAATTTATGCATTAATTATTAATTTAATTATTAATTATCTTTTATATCAACGCGTTTAACTATATTTTGTTACGAATACATCAAATTATTTGATGCATTTAATCGCTTTCTTTCATAATTTCAGAATTATAAAATTGTAAGCGATGGTCTTCAAATTTTTGTAATCTTACAATTAGGTGTTTAAAATACATAATCCGTCACTGTGTTTCCGTAATGTCAATTAATTCTATTTACAAGTCTTCATTACAGCGTGTACATTTATTGTTTTGCTGGATGTATAATATTCTCGTTTTCTGTTAAGGTACGAAATGATCCAGATTCGGACCGAAATTCTGATAAAGTTCGAGAATTCTTCAAGAAACTCGCTGGTGATGATTTAGAGGTAGACTGGACGGAACTCAAAGAAATCTTAGATTTTGCAATGCGAAAAGGTATGGTCCATTCAATTTTCACTTTGATTTTATTTCTTTCTTTTACTATGTAATAAAATGGTACGTATGAAATTGCCATAACGCGTAGAGGAGTTAAAATGAAAATATTTCTCATTCTCCTATTTTATACAAATATAATAATTTTCGTTCATTTGTATCTGTATTACTTAATAAGTAATATCATCAGTTATAGCATCATTTATTGCTTTGTAACAAAAATCTATATCTATGCATAGAAAAAAATTTTTAATGTTCCCCTTAACAAATTATCTACATTTCTAAGCAAGTGGAAAATAGAGAGAACATTCATTTAAAAGATGGACCGAAAAAGGAATTAATATTTCAAATTGTGTAGTTTTTGTATAGTTATAAATGAATGAAAACTGAGTATTATTGTTTAACTCAAATTATTTTTTGTTTTTTACTGATGCATTTATAATTTGACAGTTGGTAACAAGTTTTATTAATTAGAAATTCGGCAATTTTACACGCACTAATCCAACAGATAGTCGATAAATAGTATTTCGGAATGTTAAAATAGAGATAATATTTTATACAATTATGGTTTGTATACGATTGAAATTGACACCTTAAGTTTAAGTTGCATTTGATGTTCGTAATATAGTTATGTCTTCGTTTTTGTTTTTCGCTTATAATCAAAAAGCTTTCGTAATTTTCACGCTTCTTAACTAAGTATTGTCTATGGTTATTGATATACCTAGCATAATATCCGTAATTACGCTTCTTGGTCATTAATTGCTGACTTCGAATTCCTTATGAAACACAGTGACGTTACTTTGTTTTCACTGTGAATCAATTACTATGTGAATGTTATTGCACTGCAATCTGCACTTCCGTTATTGTGTATCATCATTTTTCTCTCTTTACATTCGTGCATATAATACATAAATACATTTGGGCCGCCACGCGAACCAAATATCTTATCGATAATGTTTCCTGATATTCTATCCATTTCAAAATTAAAACTATTTATTAACACAGCTATTTCGGGCGGAAATTTAATATCTTCAATGTGCATTAAAAGTTTCATTAATCATAGCGAATAGTTGCTCAATTAGAATATTATTGAATTAACAATCGTCGCATAGTTGATATATTTTATATATCAAATAAAATCTAATCGAAGATGTTACGAATTCGTCTAAATACTTTAAATATACATTCCAAAAATACTTTATTTTCGAAATTTTTACAAAGTCTCATTTTCGTAGCTCATTTTAGAAATATTTGCTATTGTCAACGAAAAAATTGATTTCATCTTCCAACGAATTCATTTATCATAAATATTTCGAATTCAGATATTTAATCAATTGACTTTAATATTTAAATTTTGTCATTTCCGCATTCGAATCTTCGCTAGCAGACGATATTTGTCAGCACAAGTGGATATTAAAAATTTTCAACAATCAGAAAGTTGATTGTCAACTGTAGGACGAAATGACCCGAATGTACGTATGTATAATTTAATGTTAACATGTAGCTGTGTGTTACGGGTAGAACTACCACAATCGACGGGTCATAGTGAGACTCATGCCACAGAAACTGTACAAGGAAATGGTTCTTTTATCGACACACTCATCTCACTGCTGTGCGGCCTTTTTTGTAATAATGAACAGTACAATAAGCCCGTAGGTAAGGCATCATCTAGTATACATATACTACTTCATACTACTAGGTCACCCACTCGTATGTAACCCGGGCTAAATTCATTTCTACCGAATACAGTAATTTTTCCCTAATTCGCGCTCAGATTGCGTACAAAAATGGACAATTTGGGAAGAGGAAATACGATTATTCGAGCCTTGCGGTTCGCTTTTATAGTTATCGATTGTCAACAACTATAAACACAAGACACAAGGATCGAATAATTGTATCTCCTCTTCCCAAATTGTTCATTTTTATGCGGAATCTGAGCGCAAATTAGATTCGGGTATTTGGTTCGGGTATAACAAAATCTGCAGGATTGAAAGCTAAACATGTCGTAATTAACTATCCCTGGAACTGAATAAATGAAAGTACTCATTTATTAATTACCAAATCCGATAAACTGTGGAATTTTATGCAATAATTTCTAAAACAATTTATAGGAACAGGACTTAAATATAAATTGATTGAAGCTCAAAGCAATGAGATCGTATAAAATAGAGAAATCATATATTATTGGCGGGAAATTAATAAGTTCAATAAGTTAAATATAAAACATGATATAAAATGTAATATATTTTAAATATTTACTTTCATAAATTAGGTTGTCTAATACGAAATGTCGGATTTCTTATCCCTAACAAATTTTAAGAAATTTTTATCCGACCATTTTTAAGGAGGAACTTTTTTATCGAAACTCCTAGCCGCATCAAAGGGCTTCTCATTACACGTTAAGATGACCGATTTGATTTACGTCGAAAATGAGAACAAAAATTTCTTTTAAATATTATGTCGAATAAAAACTTTACATTGTTGTACCCTAATTATACAATAATTGCATACTATTGCGCACTAGTTTAATGTAATGAAATAGTTACTACTACTAATAAATAGTTACTACTACTAATAAAATTATAATAATGTTAACGTTTCTGTTAAACTTACAGTTAATCGAACAGAATACATTTCTTGTACTTCTGTTTCTAAGAATAGAAATACTGACGTAAATCGAGGCGTTTATATTACGTGTTTCATCTTGTACATTATTTCGCACATGATTAGCTTCAGAACTAAATTATAAGCGGTATAAAACAAATGATACACTTAAGCAGGGGATAATTTTTTACATAAAAATAATCTGAAATTTAATGTTTTTTAAGGAGAATCCAATTTGAATGTTTTTTATTCGTATGCATTTTTCACCCTTCATTTTTGAAAATATAATTTTTACTGAACCTTTATTCACTGCGCCAGGTATTTGTTAATGTAGCGAATATTCAAATTTGATTTTCCGAAACTGTTTTGTAATTAGAAAGACAAACACTGATATACTCTACGTCGCTGATAAAT